CTTGGCGACTGGCGTACCCTATAATATTTTATGTATGATATTTAATACATTAATACAAATATAATAAGTTATTAATATTAATAACCGTAGAAACGGCTAATGAAAATCAAATCCCATCGCATCGTTCGGCAAATAGGTATATATTACATTTTTTTTTTCACCGATCCCGTACCAGTTTAATTTATAATGGATTTAAGAAAAAATGTTATGTCTTCTTTTCTATATACCTATCGGCCAAGGCCGCCGACCACAAGTCTGTGCCAAGTGTTTATATAGGTACTTATATACAAAAAACATGCAATGGTTAGGTTAAATGGGTGCAGAGCGTGTGGAATTCATTGGACGTCGGTATTCGGACACAGCAGCCACTGCGGGAAACCGGTTGCGTCCTTATAACATTATTTGTGTGTGAGTGTGTGCCATAGGTATAAAAGTGAGAAATAAAATAAAATGCAATATTAAACGGCTCGAGACAATGAAATGGCAATAGTTAAAATGTATAAACATTATTTGCATGTCATACAGGTATATACATCATATTGTGTCTATCAAGTATATATGTAGTAAATTTTTGGGAACATTTTTGAAAACTTGAAAATTTATATTATTTCTCAATGAAATCCCTTGATATTATATGATGACAGAACCTATATTTATATAGTTGTTAAACACCCATATTATTATATTTAAAACTTCGTGTAAAACCATTAATCATTTAGTAGCATTTGCCCATTTTAATATTATTTTAGGCTGCTATAATACATAATTTAAAAATATAACTAGATACATTAACCCTAGTAATAAAAATGTATTTTTATCTATTATTGAAAATATCATAGGTATTTATAATTAAGTGTGAATGTTGAGTGTATAAATGTTTTCTTATATTTATTGATCTAATAAGTTTTTGTTACCTACATATTGTTTGAGTTATTTCTACATTTTACACTAATTACTTGTAACAAAAAAAAAAAAATTATTATTAAAATTATACATGTTATAATGTAAATAAAAATAAAATAACCTGTATTTTACGTGGAGATACAATGACACTAAAAAAAATTTCACAATTGCAAATCCTATACTGAAACATAAAATAAACCAAAACTTATACAAACTTATATAGGACCAGACATAATATCGAGTGACCTTATMTCTCCTTCCATAAAAGAGACGCGCGGGTAAGTAAATTTATTAATTTTATTCTTCCATATACATAATATACATAAGTAGACATTTTCCACATTTTTACTAATTTATAGAATATTAATATAATRTGTAACCATTAGCAACTATTTAATTAAATAACAAAAAATGTTCTTTTCCGTGAATTGAAAATATATGTATGAGCTACCCTTTATCAAGTTTAGCTATTTTTAGGGACTGAATAAATAGCCTACAAACATACATGAATGTTACTCTCATGTTTGTTTTAAGATATAAAATTATTCAAAGCCATAAAGAATGACAAAATGCATGCTTTTACCTCATATCTAGAGTAATATTACTAATTGATGACAACCATTTATGTAGGTACCTATTCAAAAAAAAGTAATAACTACCAATAATTTAAACTATTGTCTTTTACTATTATAATCTGTGAGATGTTTAACTAATTGAAACTATTTGTGCAACAAAAAAAACCGATTTTCTTCATAAATCTGAAAATCCTTGAGGTCCTTTTTGGAGTAACTTTTCCAATTTA